TATTAGAAATTAGTTAGTGTTTTTTGTCAAATGGACTTAAGCTAAATCCCTCCCTCCAAATGTCAGGTTGTTAACTTCACTGCAGATGCAAGCGCGACTTATATGAACTGGATCCTTCGCATGATTCTGTTGTCATAGTTGGAACTGAAGTTGAATACCTTGGATTGTGTATTTCCTCTTATATTTCCTCGTCTTTCCATATCATATTATTTTCGAGAAAGACATTTTTTGAAAACTTCTACTACAGGGAAATCCAAATTGAATTACATAATTTATAAGATCTGTTGCACAAGAGGCGGATCTCGTGGTCCAAGTGGTCTAGTGGATAACACTTTGGCGTTCGAGACTATGGGCACTGGGTTCGAGCCGCGGTGGGAACACAATCACTCACTAGAGGAAGCAGGTACATCCGGATGATGAGTGCCGAATAGGACGAGGTGCGCATCCTGGATTCCACTGCTAGTCACCATCAACCAATTGACTCCTACGTAAGGGAGTTAAAACAGTTTGGTAACACTCAGTTTCTACTTTCTAAGTTTGATGATATTAGATGGTTGGAGGCCTTGGTGACGAGTGCCAAATAGTACGAAACCTAGGTTAAGCAAGGCTTCCTGCCGATTGCCTCCACCTATCTAATATCATCAAATCAATATACACCATGATGGCGAGCTACCTAGAATGGTGGCCATATTGCAAACCTTACTGATAGCTTTCAGTATGCACCAAAGAAATGACTAGACATGTCACACTAGTTACTAGTGTCCAATCAAAGTACTTTCTAAGTTTATTAATTTTTGTATTCCACCTATTCTTCTCTATCGCTTCTCTTTAATCTTTCCTGGGCTACTTAAGAAAACTTGGTTTGTAACACTACGAAGGGAACTAATAACGGTCAGTAGGGCAAGTGGGATGTCACCAAACCACCTTCTTAATACTGCTATAGATAGACACATGGACTCATGGAAGAAATTGGCAAATATTATCCTGTTAAACTCTGAGCATCCTCTCGACTATATACAACTCTCTCCTTGCATCTAGAACTGGAAGCGACTATAGAAGATTGTATACTCGAACGACTAAGTACAAAAAGCTCTACAATACCTTATTTGGCAGGCTCACACATTTTGTGTGATGAGACAAGCATATAAGGCATGACACTGCTAATCTACTCAGGAATACTAAGTAGACGGGACTTTTTGTTCTTTTATTTCATTAATATATTATTGTTAATAATTTCAATTAGATTTTAGTCTTATATTCATTCTTCTTATTGAAGAATGTTACTAATGAGGATGCCCCATTTTCAATTATTACCCCTGTAATAAGAAAATTAGATGCAATACTGTATTACTGTAACGATCTGTCGACAGAAGGCAAGGACCAGGCAACAGATCGTTTATTGAGAAAATCAACAGATATTTATAGACTTTTATGTACATTATTGTTAGCGGAGAAGCAACGTCTTCTGATTGGTTGTTTTCTTGCTGAAGGTTATTCTGTTATCTCTTTGTGTCCATCTTTTAGAAAATCAAGCCATATATCTGCGAATCATATTTTCACACGTTAACTCCGCTGTGATTGGTTGGTGATTTTCCCCTAGGTTAAGCTTTGTTATTGTTTTTTTTCTCATGACCCTGATTCGGGACGTAAACATTGACGTAAACTGCTGTCTACAGTTATGGCTTGCAGCCAGCTCTCACTACACTACTTTTTTGTTTTTCCTTAACGTTCCCCAGTGGAACATAGGACTTCAAGCTAGTGGCTTGAGGTTTCTGTAGCAGTGTTTATTTTTACAGGATGGGGTTGCTAGCCTCATGCCCAACCTTTCCTCTTCATCAGCATTTTTCTGGTTTAGTGAGGTAAAGGAGTGCGTTGGCCGGGGATCGAACCCCGGACCATGTGCATGGTCGGCGAGCGTCCTAACCGCTATGCCACTGACGCACACACTACTACATGCTGAAAATACCATATATGGAATAAAACCATTATTAACATTATTACCATGCATTTCTTTTCTTATAGAATCCAATCAAAAAATCTCGACTCATCGAATCGGCTTCTTCATCCAGTCAACATTTATCATCTAGGACAGGTGTCAAACAGCTTAATAATGCTGGAGATGACAAATGTGTCAGCAGTGTCAAGTCAAGACAAGAATTAAAGCGAATTCATGAGAAATCAACTAAACGTGTAAAAAGTATTTTAACAGAATTGAAATGCAATTGTTCTTTTTATCCAATTATTTCTAAAGGTCAAATTGGTAAAGATACTGCAGAAAGCGTAAAAATGTTTATAAAAGAACCATTTTTAAATCTACAGACAGCATTTACTCAAGCATTGATATCAGTGTTCATGGGAGAGGTATGTAAAATAACCATTTTCTAATTTACAAGGATCGATTTTGCAGGGAATTTTTTGTTTGATTGGTTGGAGGATTTCATCATTAGCTGACATGTGCGTGGTCGGCGAACGTCCTAACCGCTATGCCACCGACGCACGTCTGTAGATGTTAGTATAACAGAATTACTGAAACATTATACCCTCGAAAGCTTAGCATTAACTGCATTAACATCACTAATGCAGTTCTACAAATCTTCACAGAAAGCAACTATTTTTCCTAACCTTCGTTACGATTGTAACAACAGAAGACAAGGGCCAGGCAACAGATCGTTTATTAAGGAAATCAAAGCATATTTATATATTTTCATGTACATTATCATAGATTAGTTAAGCAAACAAACACAGTCTTCTGATTGGTTGTTTCCCACTTAAAGTTAATCTTTCATCTCTTTGTGACTGTTTCTTGAATGTCAGATCATTTATATGTTAACTGTATCCGCCTACGCAAATTCTGCTGTGGTAGGTTTTGAATCAGTCTTTGTTCATAATTTCTCACGACCAATCTTGAGAACGTACACATTGACGCCAATTACTGTCTACCGATTTGGCTAGTAGACAGCTCTCACCACACGACAGCTCGTTAAAACAGTTTTCCGTAGAACGTAATATATCAAATTTGATTACTCTTAATTCCATTATGGATAAAATTTTATTTTGATAAAGTCACACAGTGTTATACAGTAAGTAATATTTACTGATGACAACGTTTCGAGCACAATTTATTACTGCTCATAATCATATCAAGGTATTCACACGACTTTCTTGCTTCTTTTATATTTTTGAGTAAAAATTGATTAGATATTTGAATAAAATCAACATAAAACTTGTGTAAAACAGAATGGAAGATGAAGTACATCCGGAACTACTATTAGTGTTATCCATAAAATACAATAGGATGGGGAATAAGACGAGTGTTGTTATTGAGTAAGATAGGAAATAAGATGTTTTTTATAGTAAAATAAATAACTTGTTAGAATGTGAATTGAATACATTTTAGTATTATTTATTATCCTCTGATTTGACTGGTGGTAATAATATCTTCCATATCTCTGGTTGAGTCACTTCTGTTGTACGTGTTGGGTGTAGACTCGTTGAACAAGGATTCAGTAATCAACTTCTCTATCCACCAACCTACAAAACTTTTTAGAATTTTAACTCTCCTCTACCCTATTGTGTGTTTGCATGTTAATGCATGCAGTGCAATGCAGTGTTGAGTTTTTTTCTAAATTACTTATCTTCGTGGGGTCAGTCATTCTAACCTTAGCTAAATTCTTATGTTTTGATAATCTCACTACTCCTGATCTACTAGTTTGACCTTTGTAGTTGGCCTCACTCACAGTCATTGCAAGGTATTTTGTAAATTATATTATTTTAGTTTAATTGGGTTCACCGGGTCTTTTAGCCTACACAGCTTGTTTCTGAGTGAGTTTGTAGGTTTAAATGCCACTATAATTCCTGCTTTATTAAGAATCCTACTACGTAGGGCCTCAGATGTCCCCTCATTATATGGTAAAACTGTAGATGCCTTAAACTCTTTCTTATTTTATCATTATTGGTTTCACCATTATTTTTATCTGAGTACCTTGATATGATTATGAGCAGTATATAAATTGTGCTCGAAACGTGGTCATCAGTAAATATTACCACTGTATAACACTGTGTGACTTGATCAAAATAAAATTTTATCCATGAGAGAACTATTTATTTTTTTTTGATTTACAGCTTGATTCCACACCGTATTTTCAGTACAAGTGTGGAATTTTCAGCATGGATATCGGTAGCCCAAATTCAGGCCGACCATAGATATCGGGTGTGCGCCGGCAGGAGATCGAACCCCGGACCATGTGCATGGTCGGCGAGAGTCCTAACCACTGTGCCACCGACGCACTTCACCACCACAGTGCCCAAGTTTTATCCTTATATCATTAATTACTCTTAATTTATTTTGACCACCCAGTGACTCCCCTTGAAAAACAGTTTTTATTCATATGCATTTTTGAATGCCTTTCAGTAAACCGTTAGGTGTGTTTTGATGGGATATAATCGTCATCGGTTATAGTATATTCTAAGATATAATAAATAGTATAAGTATAAAACTTGGGCACTGTGGTAGAGTGTAACTCCATTATGGATAAGATTTTATTTGATAAATCATATTTGATAATCATATCAACTTGATCTGATTATGAGCAATAATTTGTGCTCGAAACGTCATCAGTTAATATTACTGTGTGACACTGTGTGATTTATCAAATAAAATCTTATCCATAATGGAGTTAGAATAAATAGTATTAGTGCCTTGAATGATCTATTGTAGATTACCAGTTTCCTTGAATATTCTCTACAAGGTATAGATAAAAATCACGCCAAAAATTCCTGTCCTGTTTTATAGAACGTACAGTTCAGAATAAAACTATTGTCATCACCGTTATTATTTCCACAAATTTATTCACTCTTAACAAGAAAGGTGGTTTACAGCTACTGACAAATTATGAGTAGTATAATTTTCTGTCATTAAAATAACTTAACAAATAAACAAACGAATTAAAAGAAATATTTCATAATTCATTTTGTTTTTTTCGAATTTTATTTCATTTTAGTTTCACCGTCTTTATATTTCTGTTAAGTCGCTTAGCCTGTTGCAATTCATTAATGCTATCACAGACATACCGATACATTTTTTATCAAATTATCGTGAAAGAATCTTTCGACCGCGTTACTTTCAAATGAACAGTAATAAAACTAATACTAGTAATAGTAACAACAGTAATAGCAAGAATGGTATTAACAATAATAATAATGGTGATCGTACTGCTGCTTACGTGAATTCATTTAAACAATTGAAAAATGAATCACTGTTCAATATTCCAATTGTGAAAGATGAAAGTTTAAAACAATTAGCCAATGTTTATTCGCCAGCATCATCATCATCTTCACCTTCATCATTGGATTCTTTACCTCTGTCAACAGCTTCAATGTCTCGATCTCCTAAAGCTCTGTCAACACCATCGAAATTCAAGGGTAAAAGTAGATTTGTAAGTGACGTTTGATGAAGTTATCTTTCCCTACGTATATATATATATATGTATGTTTGTGGATGAGGGGTCAAGTATATTTATGAAGCAATTATTGGTTTGTAGGGGTTTGATTGATTGGTTACGGGATTTCATCATGAGCTGACATCAGTTAGAGAACCATTGGAAAACCAGCAGGGGGTACTGGACAGTTGTTTCATTCCAGCAGTTCGGGACCCTTCATCAGTACGCATCCACCGGCAGGGCTCAAACCCAGGACCCTGGGTTAAATAATAACCCCATTTAATAACCAGTCCATGAATCCCAACTTTTGTCATTTAGTGATATTTATGGCACAACCGCTAGAAAATGTCACGGGCAAGTAACTGATCTCTTACTCGACTTCATGGACCCAGGTGGTTACGACTTCGCGGTAGACTGGTTGATTGACTAACCTACAACCAGTCGAATCCCTTCAAACCAACACTTGATAATTGGTCTGATCCTTCCTAGCATCTGGCTCTATATAGGAAGTTACCTGGAGTTCTAGGAAGAAGTCGTAACCAGGGGGGTCTGTCAAGTCAGCTAAGAGATCATTTACTCTCCAATGACATCTGCTCGTGGCTGCGCTATATATATATATCGCCAGTCGACAGAAGCTGGAATTCATGCGCACTAGGCCAGGCCTACGAGGTCGTCTTGTGACGGGAAAGTCTTCAGTTTGAGTCTCAGTGGCTGCCTACTGTTCTGAGGAGTTTAAGACTAAGACGAAACAGCTGTCCAGTTTTTTTTTATCCTTCACGTTCCCCAGTGGAACATAGGGCCTCAAACTAGTGGCTTGAAGTTTCTGTAGCAGTGTTTATTTTACAGGATGGGGTTGCTAGCCTCATGCCTAACCTTTCCTCTTTATTAGCTTTTAGTTCTGACTTAGTGAGGTAAAGGAGTGCGTTGGGGATCGAACCCCGGACCATGTGCATGGTCGGCGAGCGTCCTAACCGCTATACCACCGACGCATGGATGGCTCACTAGCTGATATCAACTCGTCAGTCGTACGTGTGACCAATCGAAAACTATCTCACATAATTTGATCACTGTAATGCTGTAGAAAAAGAAAATGGCTATTAAGTGTTCCTGTTTGATGTGTGGTATTATTTCCAATGTATGACTGTTAATTTTGTAACGTATTATTATTATTACTTCCAGACTGATAGACATACCTTAGAAAAAATAATTGGTTACAATCTAATAAAATCTGAAGATTTCTTCATTAAACCATGTCGTATACTTGTCCTGGACTTAGCTGGTACAAAAGAATTCAATGAGAAAAAAATCAAAGAAATCAACACCTCGTTATCAGGAGTATCATCGAAAAATATTCAATGCGAGTAAGTTATAGCTGGAATTAAAGAGTTTTGCTTTCATGCTTATTACTTAATTTATATAGGTCCAAACCAAGTTCAATTTCAACATTTAACTGAATTTTAGATTTTCCCGTCGATTGATTGGACCAAAGTGATCGGTCTCAGGTTGACTTGTCGGCTTCTTGTGCAGATGCTTCGACGATGTCTGGGCATTAATTAGTATTCAATTGGTGGATGGTGACTAGCAATGGAATCCAGGATGCGCATTTCGTCATAGTGGATAACGCTTTGGCGTTTGAAAATATGAGCACTGGGTTCGAGCATCGGTGGAGATGTCTTTACTCACTGAGAAATGCTGACGAGTCACAAATAGGACGAAATGCGCATCCTGGATTCCGCTGCGATTCAACATCCAAAATAAATCGCTTTTAAGAGTTGGAAAAAATTTGGGCAATGGGTAAATTGGGTTAACTCAATGTTTAAAAGGAAATGTTGAACTATGTCTTCGGTGAATTGATTTCATTCGTATACTGTTTACCACTAGAAATATTAAAAGGATTACAAAATGAGCACAAGGAAAAGACACAATGTGAATTGTGATAACAAGACGACAATGAGCAGAAAGGGAAAGATGATGAAAAATATCAAAACAATCAAAACAACTAGGAAAATGAAAAAATATCCAAATGAAAAAATGAGTGAAAAAAATAATAAAGGAAAAACAAAAACCATATTAAAAAAATATAACTAAGATAAAAAAATTAAGGAATCAAAAAAAATTTTAAACAATTGATATAAAAAAAATCAATTAAGTATTTCGGAAAATCAGAGTAAAGCAGTCAAAAAGTGCGACAAAGTGGCTTCAATTTACTCAGCTTGTCGTTGTTCTGTAGTCAAGGGTGTTCTCTCACATCGAATGCTGGTCACACAGATGATTATCCATGAGTAGTCTGCAGTTGTGTGACTGTGTTCGTGTCAGTTTGCGTTCGTGTGCATTGAATATTTGTGTTGGTTGTGAGGAGATTGTCAATAGTCAGTGTGCATTTGTCGTGATTGGAGAGGAATTTCGAGTGAAACGGTGGCGGCTAGACTTGTTGTTGGACAGTCGGTCAGGATGGAAATACTCCTCTTTGTGTGCGTGTGTGAGTGTGGTGAGGAGTATTTGTGTAGTGGTGAGTGTTTCGGTGGACACAGAGAAATTGTTTGTGTTATGTATGTATGTGTGCGTGGTTGTGTTTGTGTGTGTGCGCTGTGTGATTGTTCGTGCTGAGTATGTACCTGTTTGTATGAATAAGTTCATGTACGTGTATGTGTTGTGCGTGTGCCTGAGCGTGAGCGTGAGCGTGTGCATGCGTAGGCATTCGTGTGTGTGTGTGTGTGTGTGAATGAGTGAGTGAGTGAGTGAGTGTTTTTGGTTGATTTTGGTGGTGAGTGTTTGTGACTGGTGAGTGTTGTGTGTGTGTGTGTGTGTGCGTGAATGTGTGGGTTTATTTGTGTGGTTGTGTTCGACTGTGGGTGTAGTGGTTTGTTGTATGTTGTTGTGGTTTTGAGAGTGATTGCTTGTTGAGTGAGTAGAGGATGTGATTGGTGTTGATAGTGATTGTTGTGGGTGTGCGGGCGTCCGGCGATAGCTCAGTTGGTAGAGCGGAGGACTGTAGATTGGTGCAGTGATCCTTAGGTCGGTGGTTCGAATCCGCCTCGCCGGAGCTGGTGGGCTTTTGACCCATCGGACAACCACGAGTAACACGAGGCTGCTTTGTCCGCCACAATCGAGTAAATCAAGCCATCAGTCTGGACATCACCGTGTGTGCTGCCCACACATGTCGCAGACTATGCGTCACCCAACCGAATTTACACTCCATCGCCTCTTTCTCGTCGTCACATGGGACCCCTGAGTGTGGACGATCCGCCACACCACTACTGCATTCACTACGCACGCTTCTATCTCTCGCATCCTCCTTCTATTCGCATAATCACCACTCAGAACTACACCAGACTGGAATATTATCACAATATTATCACTCATCTCCTGACGCGATCATCATAATCATCTCGATGATGCGTGTCTCTTTCTACTCAGCTGCAATGTCACTCAGTGAGCATTGACGGCGACGTTGGTGCAGCGGTAGACTGCTCGCCAACCATTCATGTGGTCCGCGGTTCGATCCCCAGTCGACGCACTCGTAAACCTCGTTAAGCCGGTAATAGGACTGGTAAAGTAGGACGGATGGGCGTGAAGCTAGCAACCTCACCCCGTGAGAATGGACATCACTGCTACCGAAACTTCAAAGCTCTAGCTTGAAGCCCTATGTTCGAGTAGGCACGCAAAGGGATAAGACAGATCGGGATAGAGCATTGACCAGATAGACGGTGGGGCGAAGTGGCTTCAATTTACTCAGCTTGTCGTTGTTCTGTAGTCAAGGGTGTTCTCTCACATCGAATGCTGGTCACACAGATGATTATCCATGAGTAGTCTGCAGTTGTGTGACTGTGTTCGTGTCAGTTTGCGTTCGTGTGCATTGAATATTTGTGTTGGTTGTGAGGAGATTGTCAATAGTCAGTGTGCATTTGTCGTGATTGGAGAGGAATTTCGAGTGAAACGGTGGCGGCTAGACTTGTTGTTGGACAGTCGGTCAGGATGGAAATACTCCTCTTTGTGTGCGTGTGTGAGTGTGGTGAGGAGTATTTGTGTAGTGGTGAGTGTTTCGGTGGACACAGAGAAATTGTTTGTGTTATGTATGTATGTGTGCGTGGTTGTGTTTGTGTGTGTGTGCGCTGTGTGATTGTTCGTGCTGAGTATGTACCTGTTTGTATGAATAAGTTCATGTACGTGTATGTGTTGTGCGTGTGCCTGAGCGTGAGCGTGAGCGTGTGCATGCGTAGGCATTCGTGTGTGTGTGTGTGTGAATGAGTGAGTGAGTGAGTGTTTTTGGTTGATTTTGGTGGTGAGTGTTTGTGACTGGTGAGTGTTGTGTGTGTGTGTGTGCGTGAATGTGTGGGTTTATTTGTGTGGTTGTGTTCGACTGTGGGTGTAGTGGTTTGTTGTATGTTGTTGTGGTTTTGAGAGTGATTGCTTGTTGATTGAGTAGAGGATGTGATTGGTGTTGATAGTGATTGTTGTGGGTGTGCGGGCGTCCGGCGATAGCTCAGTTGGTAGAGCGGAGGACTGTAGATTGGTGCAGTGATCCTTAGGTCGGTGGTTCGAATCCGCCTCGCCGGAGCTGGTGGGCTTTTGACCCATCGGACAACCACGAGTAACACGAGGCTGCTTTGTCCGCCACAATCGAGTAAATCAAGCCATCAGTCTGGACATCACCGTGTGTGCTGCCCACACATGTCGCAGACTATGCGTCACCCAACCGAATTTACACTCCATCGCCTCTTTCTCGTCGTCACATGGGACCCCTGAGTGTGGACGATCCGCCACACCACTACTGCATTCACTACGCACGCTTCTATCTCTCGCATCCTCCTTCTATTCGCATAATCACCACTCAGAACTACACCAGACTGGAATATTATCACAATATTATCACTCATCTCCTGACGCGATCATCATAATCATCTCGATGATGCGTGTCTCTTTCTACTCAGCTGCAATGTCACTCAGTGAGCATTGACGGCGACGTTGGTGCAGCGGTAGACTGCTCGCCAACCATTCATGTGGTCCGCGGTTCGATCCCCAGTCGACGCACTCGTAAACCTCGTTAAGCCGGTAATAGGACTGGTAAAGTAGGACGGATGGGCGTGAAGCTAGCAACCTCACCCCGTGAGAATGGACATCACTGCTACCGAAACTTCAAAGCTCTAGCTTGAAGCCCTATGTTCGAGTAGGCACGCAAAGGGATAAGACAGATCGGGATAGAGCATTGACCAGATAGACGGTGGGGCGAAGTGGCTTCAATTTACTCAGCTTGTCGTTGTTCTGTAGTCAAGGGTGTTCTCTCACATCGAATGCTGGTCACACAGATGATTATCCATGAGTAGTCTGCAGTTGTGTGACTGTGTTCGTGTCAGTTTGCGTTCGTGTGCATTGAATATTTGTGTTGGTTGTGAGGAGATTGTCAATAGTCAGTGTGCATTTGTCGTGATTGGAGAGGAATTTCGAGTGAAACGGTGGCGGCTAGACTTGTTGTTGGACAGTCGGTCAGGATGGAAATACTCCTCTTTGTGTGCGTGTGTGAGTGTGGTGAGTGTTTCGGTGGACACAGAGAAATTGTTTGTGTTATGTATGTATGTGTGCGTGGTTGTGTTTGTGTGTGTGTGCGCTGTGTGATTGTTCGTGCTGAGTATGTACCTGTTTGTATGAATAAGTTCATGTACGTGTATGTGTTGTGCGTGTGCCTGAGCGTGAGTGTGAGCGTGAGCGTGTGCATGCGTAGGCATTCGTGTGTGTGTGTGTGTGAATGAGTGAGTGAGTGAGTGTTTTTGGTTGATTTTGGTGGTGAGTGTTTGTGACTGGTGAGTGTTGTGTGTGTGTGTGTGTGTGCGTGAATGTGTGGGTTTATTTGTGTGGTTGTGTTCGACTGTGGGTGTAGTGGTTTGTTGTATGTTGTTGTGGTTTTGAGAGTGATTGCTTGTTGATTGAGTAGAGGATGTGATTGGTGTTGATAGTGATTGTTGTGGGTGTGCGGGCGTCCGGCGATAGCTCAGTTGGTAGAGCGGAGGACTGTAGATTGGTGCAGTGATCCTTAGGTCGGTGGTTCGAATCCGCCTCGCCGGAGCTGGTGGGCTTTTGACCCATCGGACAACCACGAGTAACACGAGGCTGCTTTGTCCGCCACAATCGAGTAAATCAAGCCATCAGTCTGGACATCACCGTGTGTGCTGCCCACACATGTCGCAGACTATGCGTCACCCAACCGAATTTACACTCCATCGCCTCTTTCTCGTCGTCACATGGGACCCCTGAGTGTGGACGATCCGCCACACCACTACTGCATTCACTACGCACGCTTCTATCTCTCGCATCCTCCTTCTATTCGCATAATCACCACTCAGAACTACACCAGACTGGAATATTA